GTTTATCATATATTTATTATATTTTTTTATTAAAATATTTTTATCATATTTTTATCATATAATAGTTATATAACTATATGATAATCATAAATGGCAAAAATTCAAGTTTCTGCTATGTACTTGAGTAGCATTTATCGAATCTATGTGGTTTATTAAATATTATTAATTATAATAATTACTTTCGCTACAAAAACTGTCTATACTATTTGAATAGTCTAAGGTTTATTTAGACCTTTTTGCCCAAAACAGCCTCATTGATAAACCCCTCTTTAAGACCAAATTCGTCCCAATTGCCTAATTCCCAATTATTCCTGTTTGACAGTTCTGGATTTTCCTCCGCCTTCTGGGGTTTCTGGCTGGTACTCCTGTACTCCGATTTGGAAATACCTAGGTCACGGGCTTATGGTAAATTTTAATTGATAAATATTTTATACTTTTAAAATAATTGTTTACTGTATATTGTTATTTAGGATTGGTTGTATTGTTGGTAACTGTTAAGGGTGGATTCGGAAGGCATTTTCGAAAAAAAAACCCTCCAGACATTTTAACATACATCAAGAAATTTTATAAATAGATAAATAACGATTAATAACAAATAATTGATAATTATTTGTTAGTAATCGTTATTTAACTAAATACAGTAGATATCATAACATTCCAATATTAATTTAGATACAAAATAAAAACGGCATAAAAAATTTATTTTGCTAAATTGTTTAACATAGCAGTAATCCTCAATCATTTTAAAAATTTCTTATTCCAAATAACAAACCACCAAAACATAAATGATAGGGATAATAATCTAAAATTTATAGAGCAAGTGAGAAAATATTTATTTGTATAATATAATGAGATTAGATATTGTTATAGAAATTTTTGATATTAAGAAAAACTACTACAGTTGCACCTTTCTAAGACACGCTACATAAATGCATATCTATAGAGAATTTTTTGATATTAAGAAATATTACTACAGTTGCACCTTTCTAAGACACGCTACATAAATGCATATTTATATAATTTATTTTAAATTAAATTTGAGAATTTGCTTGAGAGATCTGAAAATTTTTTTGTATCATATATCTTGCTTGTATAGATATCTTGTGAATGTATTTGTTTGATCAGCTCTGCTTTAATATTATTAGTTTCCAAAAATTGTTTTTTGATTTCATTATCATTTTCCTGATCCATTTCATCTAACCAACGGGTGATTATTTCAATAATTTCGGTTGCAGTGGGTCGTTTATCAAAATCTTTATCCATACATTTCGCAGCCAATTTAATATAACAATCAGGCCCCAAACATTTAGGTCTTGATCCACCGATAATTTTTGCTACAAGATCTTCATTAAACTGAATTCCATCAAATGCTCTTTGTCCGGTCGAAATCTCTGTTGCGATAACTCCAAAACTATAAATATCTGATGCTTGGATATACGGTTGACCCATCAAAACCTCAGGTGCTATATACGGTAGAATCCCACAAATATTTCCCTCCTTTACTTTTCTAGAAAGTCCAAGATCAGTGATATATGCGTCATGCAATGCATAAGTTTGCAAGATATTTCCACTGTGTAAATCTCTGTGAACGAGTTCTTGCGAATGAATCGACTCAAGATCCAAAGCTATACCGTATAAAATATTCAATTTATCTTTCCATTCTAATTGTGATACTTTTACAAGATTTTGTCGTAACGAACCTTTTGTTGCAATTTGCATAACAATAATATAATCCCCATGTTCATTTCTTGATACTCCTAAACAGTTTAAGAACGAAGGACACTCATAACCAATTTCACAGTAATTATTCAATTCTTGAATAAATTCTTGCACATTTTTGTTTGAATCACGAATCACTTTAAGTGCGACAGGCCACCAACTATTATTAATTCTATCGAACCAACGTGCTGAATATACAGTTGCGAATCCTCCTTTTCCCTTTTCCCTGATATCGCTGAAATCATTATAATCAATCCAAGATAATTTAAATCTCTCATCATCTATTATTCTCTTAAGTTCAGGATTAATATGATTAGGTGATTTATTAGTTTTCAAAAGACTTCTATATTTTGTGAACCAATGATTTGCCTCTTGAATATCTCTCTTTGTACCCATACCGTTTCGGTAAAGTCGAGCAACATTATACATTGCTATTTTAAGATTCATATTAGCAGATATTTTATAGTATTTAAATGCTTCATTATAATCTTGATCAACTCCTAGTCCACTTTCATAAAGGCCACCAATATTAGACATCGCATAAGCATTACCCAAATCTGTCGATCTCTTACCGTATTCAAATGCTTTCTGGAAATTTATTTCTACTCCAGTTCCAAATCTATAACAAAGACTAATGTTGTTCATCGCATCCGAATTTCCTAACTCAGCTGCCCTCATATAAAATTCAAAAGCCATCTTTCCATCTTTCTTAACACCAATACCGTGTTCATACTTGAGACCAAGGTTACGAAATTGTTCAGAGTCCATTTTTGATTTTTTTTTTTTTTTAAAGAAGGGAACAAAAATTAATGCACTAATAAAATAGATACTTTAATTGCCCGGAGCGTAGCGGAGGACATTAAATATTTAGTCAAAGTGATACGAAAGTTACATTAATAGTTCTGTAGTTACATTTTGATTATTAGTTCATTAGTATTGTCCATCAAAATCATATGGTTTACTCATGCATATTTGTATTTAGTGTAACAAAACCCAAAATTCTAATTCCGTAAATCGTATAATTTTGCTGTCACATGGGCGAAAATTTACAGTCGGACATTGTGATTATTAAAATTAAATGTGATAGTCCAGGGATGTTAAGTAGTCCACGGGGAACCATTTTGAACCGGGTCCAACCCCGGACTTTTTAGGGACTAGTGGGACTAGTTTAAACTGACATAATATGAATAGTGCCGTTTTTAATGCATTAAATAAAATTCGATAAAATGTGAATCAATAACAATACACCCTGAGTGGTGGTACTTTCGCTAATTGGGAAATCAATGACAGATACTCTATCAATAATGGTAATAAAAGTATTATAAAATCTATATTAAACCGCTAGGGTAAGACTACTATAAGACTTGTTTTTAACAATGGTTTCAACTAGTCCTGGACCAAACTTTTTATGGGACAGACCAGGACCAGACCAGACGCACCACTTAATGTTAACATCCCTAAAATTGTATTGGCCAAAATTGGGGTGTTACACACTAAATGATTTATAAATATAGCATTGAGATTATCTTTTTCTGGAAAAATCAGATCTACACAGATAAATTCTTGGGTGTAAAAAATTTTTTTAATGCATTTATTCTTTTTTAACACATTTATTTTTTGCTTAATATATTAGAATATTACAGTTTAACCTCCCAAAACTGATCCTGTCAAAACTGATAACCTGTAATAACTAATACAAAATTGAATCACTATGTCTGTTCCTTAAGTCAAAACTGATAACCTGTTAAACCTGATAACTGATATTAAAAAAATTAAATACTTATAAAATATCAGATTTGACTTATAAATAATTGATTTAATTGGCTCAAATAAGATTTTGTATAACATATTATAAAGATAAGAAATAAATTTAGCCAATCATATTTGTTTATAGCTATATAACTAGTAAACTATTAGTATCTTAAACCTGATAGCCTGTTAAAACTGACACAAAAGCTAGCCACCATGCATATTGGTTTAGGGAGATTATACTATATTGTCATGATTGTAAATCGATCGTCGCTAGATTCTAACTGAATTGAGCGATTGATCGCATATTTGTTTGTAAATGTATATGCGGCAAATAGAAGAATTAGTAGATTTAGTAGATTTGGGATATTTGGGATATTTGGGATATTGGGAATATTTGGGATATTCGGGACATTTAGCACATTTAGCATATATAGTATATACGGTATATTTAGTATATTTAGCATATAGTCGAATAGTATATAAAGGTAGAATTTACTATAATGTAAAATTAGATTAGGATATCTCGAGTTATTAATAAACCGTTTATCGGCCAAATCCACACCTCTTTTGAGGGTGGTATTTTTTGAGTAATCACATTTGGTGGATTACTGTGAGATCCGTATAACACCCATCAACAAACCTTGAAGAGGTTGAGTCACCTGGACCCGACGTACCGAGTCCGAAGTACGGTAACAATTTTGGAAAATCGAAGCATACATAGTGAAAAATTGAAACGCATACATAAAGACTAACGGCTATAAGGCTATTGGAACTTAAGGACTAACGACTATAAGACTATTGAAAGTAGAGATTAATGGCTACAACTATTGTAAGTCAAAAAGAGAGACAAAAACAAAGTACTAAGTAGAAAAATTGAAGAAATCTGCTTTACAGAATTTTTTTTTGGTGACAGCACTTTAAAATTTTTTTTGGAAACTGACGTACTAGAAACCGGACCAGCAATATTTTTTTAAGCAACAAAGCATTAAAGAACAAAAAAAAAAAAAAAATTATTAGCAATTACGTAACTTAAGTGTAATTTAAAGTTTGGAAAAGAGAATCGTAAGCTTTAGAAGTGCGAAAATAAACTCTAGAGATCGACAATTAAACCACAAAGCATTAAGTAATCGTGACAAAAATCTGTTATAAGGATCGACTTTTGAACAATAGAACACAGACGTTATAAAATCAGAAAATTATAAAGACCAGCACATAAACGTTGGATTAGTAATCGCTTAAAGAACAAAGACACATTAGTATAACTAACAATACCAACACAACAAGTACATCCGAAAAATCGACACAAAGACCCCAAATGGAATAAAATTTTATTATCTTTTTCTGTGAATTTTTTTTTTTTTTAACCGAAATTCTCAAAAAAAAAAATGTACGAAGTGTATCGGATTGACCAAGAGACCTTTAATCAAAAACCAAGAACTGGTTCCCAGAAAAAGAAAACCCAGTCACTATACGAGAAAAGAAGATCTAGAAAAATCGACAGCGATTATAGAGACTCAGGAAAGAATCAGAAAAGAAAGAGGAAGACTGGAGGGACAAATACATAAAACGGTTGGAACTAAAATGCAATATGATACTAGCAACACTTACCCAGATGAATTTGGAGAAGTTCAAGATATAGTTGATGAAGTTTTTGGACATCAACCTATCAATAACGCTCAACTTCCACAAGCCCTAGAGTTAACGCTGGAAATTTTAGAAGATTTTACAAGCAACAAAGAAGAAATAGAAGAAGCAAAGCTGATTATTTACCTATCTCCAAACAGAATCAGAGTCGAAAAAGAAACTAGGATTGAAACCGATGGCCATAAGGCATTCAATTATCATCAAATACCTGCCGATCCGAATGATTTCAATGGAACATACGATCTTGAATATTGTTCTCGACATGGATATAAAATAGAAAAGGATAAACATATAGCATTCAAAAATGCTAAATTAAATATTAACAATATTAGAACGCGTGACTATCAAGATAGAGTTGGATCGGGAAAAGAAAAATATAAGGCATTCACTTACTATCAAAAATCTGGCGAGATGAATAATTCTGATGAAAATACTAGTATTGAAGTAAAAACTCCAGATGGAATATTCCTCGTTGGACACTGCTATGATAAAGGAACTGAGGTCAAAATAGAAGAACGAAAGACGTTCACTCATTATCAAGAAGCTGCCAATTTGGATAATACTGACGAATTATACACCACTGGGCACTGTTATCAATATGAAATTGAGCAATATAAAAAATCAGCAGAAGAACGAATCGAAGCCAAAAAGGATGCACACAAGGCACTTATTTATTGTCAAAAGTCAGCCATGGTGCGTATAGAACAGAGTGATGAAAATGAAAAAGAATTTGAAAAAGATGATTATAAAGCGCCCATTTATTATCAAAATGTCACTGAACTGGATATAGCTGCCAAATATAATGAAAAGAGTGATTATGATGATCAAGGCAATGGAGCGATTGAAGATAATGAAATTATGAAAAAAGCAAAAAAGTTTAATACAAAAGTGAAAAATGTGCTGAACGAAATCGAAATTAAAGTACCAATACTTATCGAAGACAATGAATCTCTGAAAGCTAGGTGTAATTCCTGGAAAGAGAAAGTCAAAAGGTTCAAAGTTAATAAAGAAAAATATAAAGTAAGAAAAGACGAAAGTGGAATTGAGAAGAATCTCAAAAAGGATATGTATAAGGCGTTTATCCATTACCAAAAACCTGCTGCAATGAAATATGATGGTAGAACGAATAATGACGAACACTGCTACAAAAGAAGAATCGAAGCTAAAAAGGACGAAAATAAAGTATTCAATTGTTATCAAAATTCAGAAGATGTGGATAATAAGCTCGACGATAAAAAGATTGATACATCGGCATACGATTATAAAAGATTTACTGATATAAGCCACTCTAATGAAACATATAATTACAGATATGATAGAAACAGATTCGAAGTTGAAAGAGAAATTAATGAAGGCTTGACACCTGATAACGATATTTCATTGAAGAATAAAGAATCTACATGTGAAAGATATTCGTATATTGGTTCTTGTTATGTAAAGAATGAACAAATGGCATTCCTTTGTCAAAAAGCTGCTAAGATGAAATATGACAGAGGAACATATACCATAGGACCTCGCTATGGAAAAGAAATTGGAGTCGAAAATGATGCAGGTATAGCATTCATTTATCAAACCACTAAAAACCTATCTAAATTCGTGGAACGAATTATCACGAAGGGGAAAACTGTTACGTTTAAAGATGGAATCAGTAATAAAAGGACTACTGAAGACAGACAAAAAGCATTCAAATGACATTCAAACTCTGCCGAAGGTAGCAATTCAGATAGGCGACATAATCTTGGAAGTTACTACAAGAAGGGAATTGTAGCTGAAAAGGATCAACATAAGACATTCATGTATCAACAATTGACCGAAAACGATAAATACAAAGCTCTCACACATCATCAAAAATCTGCAAGTATGGAAAATGCTAATGGAACATTGTATGTTGGATATTGCCATCAAAACAGGATTGAAATTGAAATAAACGGACACAATACATTCGGTAATTACCAAGAGTCTGTTGACTTGAATTATGCCTGTAAATCTTGGATGGAAAGGGTGGATGAACCTAAAAGGATGATCAAGAATGACATAAGCAAAATGGAAAAGAACCTATACCTAAATGGTTTAAATGAGTTTCAACAACCTGCTGATATGAATCATAATCTTGATCACGGTTACAATAATGGAATTAGGATCAAATATGATAAAACCAAAGCATTCTTGAATAAGTTAGTATGTAGAATTAGTTCTTACACATTTGATCCCGGAAGACTGAGATTGTTCGTGGAACGAACAAATTAGGTGGAGGAAAATGTCATGATTGTAAATCGATCGCTAGATTCTAACCGAATTGAGCGATTGATCGCATATTTGTTTGTAAATGTATATGCGGCAAATAGAAGAATTAGTAGATTTAGTAGATTTGGGATATTTGGGATATTTGGGATATTGGGAATATTTGGGATATTCGGGACATTTAGCACATTTAGCATATATAGTATATACGGTATATTTAGTATATTTAGCATATAGTCGAATAGTATATAAAGGTAGAATTTACTATAATGTAAAAGGAGAATAGGATATCTCGAGTTATTAATAAACCGTTTATCGGCCAAATCCACGCCTCTTTTGAGGGTGGTATTTTTTGAGTAATCACATTATATAGACTTTTCAAAAAAATATTTTAAAATACTTATAGATTTATATTTAAGATATTTTAGACAGATTACTTAAAGTAAACATAGTAGTAAAAAAAAAAGTTATAGCTATTTATCAACAAATATAAAAAAATAAATTTTTTATATTTGTTTGTTTTATCTACAAAATTAGTATTAAAGTATCAAGTAACTTATACACTTATCTAATATTTAAATTTACAAGTCTTAATACTAATTAGTCAAAGCACAAATAACTATATACTTGTCTGTTGTTAAACTTTATATAATAAACTAACTAGTTTACAAGATAAGAAGTAGTAATATTCATATAATTAAAAACATTAATTATATTCTTTTTTTTTGTAAAGATATATATTCTGATTATTATTTTGCAAATAATTGAAAACTTTTATGAATATTTAAAAATATACTTGAAATTCTAAATACTAAGATTAATATTTAAAGTATTTAGTATAGCAAATAATATTCAAAATAATGCAATAATTTTGAACTAGAGAAATACCAAAAATATTTAAAACTCTAAAATAGTCAGTTCTGATTTAAATAATAAGAAAGTATATAATATTTATACAAAAGTGTAAAATAAAATAATATTAAAGATATATTATATTTTTAAAAATAAAGAGTAAAATCAAAACTTTTATTTTTACAAATAAAAAAAATTCAAAAAAAAAGATAAAAGAAGATAGTTAATTGAATAATCTGCCTAACAAAATAAATAATACTAATAAAATTCTTAAAAATATTAAACTTTTATTTAATAAATTAAATGAGAAATTAATTCTTAATAAAGTTAATAAGAATTTGCTATTAGACAAAATTCAATTGCTATTAATAGTATATAAAATTTGATTTTGATTTTATGTTTTTACCAAAAATATTTTTCAAGTTTTTAATAGTTTTAAAAATTTTTTAATGTTCTCAATATAGAAAAATTAAATTTGTATAATATTAATAATAATCTATTCAATATTTTTATATAAAAAATATTTTTTAATAATTTATATTCTTAAAATTTTATTAGTATTTTTAGAGAATATTGTAAATATTAAATTTTGCATACTAGCTATTAGTAAATATTAATAATAGAACATCAAAACTAAATTTTATTATAAATATTTATAAATAAGTATTTAACAAATTTATTATTCTATTATTAATAGGTTAGGTCCCGTAGCCTAGTGGTCTAGGCACCTAACTCTCCACAGACAAGGTCGATGGTTCGATTATAGCTGGTGGTAATTAATTTAATTAATTATCTCTGTAACCTTCGGGAGCTTTCGAATGCTAAACCCTGTAGTGGTAAGACCATGTGATGTATATATTTGGCCTATAAAGAATTCTTGGAAGGAGCCCCAAGCCATGGAGAAGACTGGGCACTGTGTGTGACATGGGTTACAGAAGATTTACTGCAGAAGGCTGTGCGTGTGAATCCACGATTGGCAAGGTAGCACCAACAACCCTAAGGTGGCATTGGGATCTTGATTGGGAGAACGGCTGTATGCGGTATTTCCAGAAGTGGTGAGAGAAGCGGTGAACATAGTAAGGAGCTGTAGTAAGAGGATGGCTTTACCAAATATAGAACACCTTTGGCACAAAGAAACAATGAAAACTAGCTAAAAGAAACCCTGAAAAGCATGGAAGCAAGCAATCTGGTGGTACAAAAATAAAGACAGGCTAGGGAGTAATAGTCACACAACCTATATGAAAGTCTATGATGAAATATGGCAGAAGCGTGGGTCCCGGGTCACTAGCTTGTGATAGTGATTAAATGAGGTACATAACTCCCGTCTTAAGGATTTAGACTTCTGTAACACCATACTAATAGGGAATACTATAAAAGAATTAGTAGCCTAATTTGGTGGTGTACGATGTGAATACCTAGATTGATGTGAAATATTATTCTAGTTTGGCAACTTAACTGCTTGAGATACGGCTAGGCCTATAAAGTAACTCCTCTAGAGACACCAAACTGGAGCACCTACTCGAAGAACACCAATTTGGAAGTAATACAAGTACTGAATTAAAAGTAATGTGATAAGTGATGAGAGATGGAAGTTGGTTGGTGAACATTGTACAGTAGTATATAAGCAAGATATATATGATAAAAATAGGTTTGGGAACCATCTGGTGATTTAGTAATTGGTCTAGTTGCAGGGTGGTTATTAAGGAGGTAAAATCTCATATAGCAGGTTGTACATAGATACTAAGTTAGTAACCGGGTGAGCCAATATCTTGTAATACATTAGAGTGTTGTAATTGTACATGTGACATTTGTAACCAAAATACCTTAGTGTACTAATAAACAGTATTGGCAAGACTGCTGAATTTAAAAAAAAATATATATATATTCTATTATTAATAGCAAGACAAGCAGAATTACAGCAAGTAGATTTGATGTTAAGAAACTAGAAATAAGAAAAAAGTATAGATTGATGTTTAGAAAGATTCCTAATTTGGTATCTGAGTCAGTTCTACTTAGACAACTAAGAAGGTTCAAAGCTAAAATGGTGTTTAAGCTCACTAATAGAAATAATAATCCAAGTGGAAATACTCTAGTCTATTTTGCGTCATTAGAAGACCTCAAAACAGCAAAGGCTTCAGTACTAATTACTTTCACAACAGGCTAGAATAGAGTAAAAATGAACATTATGAACTAGCCAAAGATTTTGGCTCTAAAGAAAACTGAGACACAATTAAAATAAATGAAACTTACAATAGTCAACACTTTAAAAATCAAGAAATATATTATAGACAAAACCTTAAAAGAAGAAGATCATCTAGTAACAACAAGGTAAATAGAAATCAAAGCTCAAATGAGATTATTCACACTGATAGAGTGTTTACAAATAGTAAAAGTAGTAGCATATGAGCCAGAAGTAACACCAGAAAGCCCCTCTAATATAAATAGTATAAATTTATCTCAGGAAACAGAGTTTGCAACAGGATCAAATAGTGTGCCAATTGCTAACCAAAAAGAGAAAAAACTGATAGGCAAGAAGCAAACGAGTTAGAGGAAATTCTTGCAGAAATGAGACAAAAGTTTAAAACAATAGAACATATAATTGCAATGCACTTCTAAAGGCACTATGAGTGAATTAACTCATATAAGCATGGCAGAAACTCTCACTTCTGTTTCAAGAGAGCCCAAAATACAAGAACAATGTGAGGATCTAAATAGAAAAAATAAGATTAATAATTATAAGCAGCTTAGTTTAGGGTTTCATAACATAAATGGTTTAAAGTTAAATGGGCAAAAATTAAAAAACTTAGCAGCGTTAAGTAAAGAAAAGAGTTTAGACATCATTGGGATAGCAGAAACTAATATAAATAAGGAAGAGAGTAGATGGATAGATGTAGAGGAATTTGGATACCTAAGCTACTGGTCAACAAAAGAAGTAGATAAATTAAAAGGGTCAGGAGTAGGGGCTTTAGTTAGTAAGAATTGGTCAAAACATTTAGCCATAGTTAGAAAATACAATTCATATATGATAAAGTTAGAGTTTTTCTTCAAAAAAGCGATTATACAAATATGGGTAATATATCTGCCACTAGTAGATAAAAAAATTAATAAGAAGGTGCAATGTATAGTAGTACAAAAAATATGTAAAAACAAGATAGACACATACGTAAACATACTCAGAGATTTTAATGCAATATGTAATACAAGATTAGATACCAGTAACACAGGCCGCAAAAATTAAGAGCTTGGGAAAACTCTACTTGAATAGCTTAAAAGTAGAGAGATAATAAACTCATAGGTATATAAACCCGCATAAAAAAGAATATATCTGGAAAAAAGATGAGATAGCTTCAAGAATTGACTATATATGGATTGGAAAAGAGATAAGAGAATTTATCAATGAAGTATCAATTAAAGACATTAATTTAGTAACAAGTAGTGACTACAAAATGGCATGTGTGAAGTTAGAATTAAGTAAAATACTCGAATATGGAAAACTTAGTAGAAGAAACCAAGAAAAACCAACTAGAAGAGTTTTCCTATATTATAAAGCATCATCAGAAGACTGGGAGGCATATAGTGTGCATGTAGAGCACCTTCTTTTTGCAAAAAACAAAAATAGAAATGTGAAAACTTCTTATAATAAATATACAGATATTAATATCAAATGTGACAACATTAGTAGTGCAATGATGAGTGTAGCATTAGAACACATACCTTGGATTAATGTCAAGAAAACTGAAGCTCAGGAAAAAAAGTCAATCCCAAAGTCAGAAATTTATAGAGAAGTTAAGTTTTTATATTATTTACAAAAAAGAAGTAAGAAAAACCCTTCTGAAAAGGTTAAATCTAATGAAAGAGTAAGTTTAAATAAGAGAATTGACAAAATAAATCAGCTGCACCAAATACAAATTGCACAAATGCCAGAGTATTGGAGTCAAATTCAATTAGAAGAGCTAAAAAACTGGGGCAAAATCCTTAGAAAGAAAGCAGGTGATGAAGAGCATAGAAAAAAAGAAAGTGAAATTCGGAAGAAAATAGAATTGAGATTTGGTATAATAGAAAAAAATAAGAAGAAAATGCTTCAAAGCCTACTAAATAAACCATATAACAAAGTTATGATAGACAGAGTTTTGGTAGGAAAAAATTCTAGAGTTCACAATCTGGAATTAATCAATAATGAAGAAGGAGAAAAACGGCAAGTAACAATTTTAAAGAACAATTTAGAAAAAGAAATCAAAATTTCAAAGAGATAAAAGCAGAATAGAAAGAAGAATACAAGCCAAAAAAAGAGATTGATCCTTTAATATATAAGGAAGTAACAGATCCCCTTACACTAGAGGAATAGACATGAGCTTTGAGTAAAACTAGAAATGATACAGCACCAGGAATCTCAAATATTGGGTATATTCTTTTTAAGAAATTACTACCCAGAGTGATTGAGAAAATATTAGTATAATGAATGCAATTCTCAAACAAAGATTTCAGATAAGTGGAAACTTGGCCAGATATATCTAATCCCAAAAATAGCTTTTGGAAATATAATCTAAACAATACGAGACCTATAGTATTACTTGAAACATGTAGAAAATTTTAACACAAATGCTTCAAATTAGGCTAAACAAAGTACTAAGCAAAAATAGTATATTGAAAGGAGCAAACTTTGCAGGCCTGTCTGGGAAAAGTACATCGACCCCTATATATATTATGAACAATATAATAGAAGAAGCATTAGAAAGGAAAAAAGAGCTCTGGGTGATATTTCAAGATATGAAAAAGCCTTTGACTCAGTTAGCATAGTTTCATTAAAGAAAGCTTTAGAAAGAATTAAAATCCCAGTGATAATAATGGAGTTATATGAAAATAGGCAGCTTAGCATAATAACAGAGTTCAGAAGTACAGATTTCATAAATATAGGAGATGGCATTGACCAAGGAGAGATACTATCTTTGTTAGTTTGGAGGATTTTTTATGATTCCCTACTCTGTAGAGTACAAAAAGCTGAGCTAGATTACAAAATGCATGACCCAGAAATACAGATAAACACAAAAGACACTAAAGTAAATATTAGAATAGGAGTGTTAGCATATGCAGATGACACAACTTGGTTGACAAATAGTCAAGAAAGTATACAGAGTACAATTAACATTGCACAAGAGTTCTATAAGTTAAATGATATTGAAATAAATCTGAACAAGACTGAACTCATAATACTAAAACAGGATAAAAAGAAGTATGCAGAAGATTTTGCAATTTGGTTGAATAATTCAAGAACCAGAATTATAGCAAAAGATCCTAAAGAAACTACTAGATTCCTAGGGGTCTGGATGTCAATCAAAAATCAAAAAAGGTCTGATATAGCCAAAGCAAAAAGTATAGTAGACAAGATTACAGGACTACTTAAGTACAAATAGATGTCTTTGAGCCAGATCATATACGTAAACAATACAATTCTTATACCTACTCTAGAGTATAGATTAATGATCTTGTGTTTAACTAAAGCACAGTGTGAGAGAATACACCAATGATTTGTTTGGTAAAATAGAAAATGTCGATGCCTTTCATGACAGCGAACATAATAACAAAACACCCAGAAATAACAGACCTCAAAAGTCTCTGGAATAGACATATAGAGTATTACATTTCAGAGTTGCTAGTTAGACTAAATACACCAGGGCTATTAGAAGAGACATCAACAAAAAGGCTTAAGCAAGGCTAGTTAAAAGCAGGATCTTTGAATTGTATTTTAACAAATCAGAATGCACTAGCAAAAAAAAAAATAAAAGGTTGCAACTTAGGCATAAATATCTTGCAACAAGCTTACACTCTGGGCTTTGTAATAGAAGAAAAATGAAATTACAAAGAGCTAGAATCTAGACATTATACGAGCAGCGAATAATGAAGAGATTGTATGTGTTTTCGAGTATTTGAACATGGCTTATGAGGAAACGAAAGCAAGCAGCCTGGGTTTAATTTTGGTCTCACAACTTATTGCAAAGGATGGCAAAACAATGCATACATAGAAGCAGATCAAAATGGCAGGAGATAAGGGTTTAAAAGGAAAAAAACAGGCTGGTTCGCTAGATTAGAAAAAGAAATGCTAAAAAATTCTCTTACATGAGTAGTTAAAAATAGATATAACTGTGAAGCAAATAATGTTAATGCACTTAGACTAGAGACAAAAGAACCAAGTGCTGACAAAAGAATAAAAGAATGGGTTTGCTAGAGAGATGAAGCAAGTGCAATGCTTAATGTAGGAAAGGTCAAAGAAAAAGAAAATACATATATAGAAGTTGAAAAATATAAAGAAACAACATATTGTTATAAAAACGAAATGCAGCAGTTATTAGAAATTGATGAAAAAAGTGAAACTTACATAGTTAAATGTAGAAAACTCAAAGACATTTCAAACATAGTTCAGAAAACAGAAAAAGGAACGAAGTTGATTTTTGAAAAAAGATATATAGAAGAGGTAGTTAGTAAAAAGGAAGAGAAAGTGCTTGTTAAAACAAAAGAAATAAAAAGAATAAAAGAGAAGGGTAAAATAGATATAGGTTGTGAATATTGGGAAATGGTTTTAGTTAATAAAATAGTTCAGGATAATGTGATTAGATCTAGAATAGCAGAAAGATTAGAACAGAATAGTATATTAGATAGCCTATTTTTTTACACAGATAGCTCACTCGGTACCGCTAAGGAGGAAGGAAAACTAGTAATGAGATGTGGAGTAATTCAAACCACAGAAATAGGTCAACTGATGCAACAAATGTCATGTGCAACAAAAAGGTGGTTCTCATCTATAAGAGCAGAAATAGTAGCAATATTACTTGCATTACTAACTACACCCTGTAGAAGAAGAGTAGAAATAAGAACAGATAGTAAAGCAGCAATATTAGCAATCAAAAGGGGCTTAGAGACAGACAAAATAAGACCTTGGCTGAAGACTAAGAATTGTGGTTTAGTAACAACAATTGTAGAGGCGATCAAGACAAAGGAGCTAAACACACACTTCATAAAGATCAAAGGTCACTCAGGTGATATATTCAATGATCTTGCAGATTTGAAAGCAAAAGAAGGCTCTAAGTCAAAAGAGTACCTAAACCCAGAAATATTATATACAAAAGGCTATAAAATAAGATATACGTGGGAAGGTAAATTAGTTGAAAAGCCTATTCGTTCCTTTACTAAAATGTTGGGAAGAGTGTTATTGAAAGCAGAATGGGCTTTTTTACATAACACACATGATGTAACTCACCAAGAAAGAAAGAGCACTTAATCTTGGTTTATACTGTACAATATAATGATGAGTGGAACTAGACAACAAAATCATACCTTCAAATCGAATACATTACAGCTCTTTGAAATAAAGTGTATAAACAACATGCTCCCAGTGTTCGAAAAACTTAATCAGAGAAGGCCAGAAATATATAAGACAGACAAATGTGTTATATGTGGAAAAAAGAAAGAAAATATAAAACACTTAGTGAATTGTGAAACTTCTCTGAACCTCCTCCGAGATTTGGAGGAGCAAGTAGTAGAAGCAACCTTGATTGAGTTAAAAAAGTTAGAAAACTTGGAGATAGCCAAAGAAGAAGTTTTAACAATACTAGGAAAGAGATTTCAAACTGAAGAATCACATAGAAGAAAGAGATATATTAGAGGCCTAATCACAAAAGAAGACTTTGATGAGCTGAGACCTTTTTTTAACTTGAATAACCAAGTAAAGAGCTTCCTAGGTAGACTTTGGAAAAATTGGATGAAGGAAGTATATGAAAAAATATGGGTTGCAAGATACAAACTCATGCAGAAATGGGAGAAAAAAATGGAATCATGCCAAGAGATAAAAGAAGATTGCACAAAAAGGCAAGAAAGGAAAAGAAGAAGAAGAAGAAACCTCCAGATAAACACACTAGGAAAAAGGAAAAAGGAAAAAGATAAAAATGAAAAAGAGGATAAAAGATAAGTTTTAATCTTAAAGATAACTAAAAAAGAGGTTGTAAGGTGGATTGAAGTAGGACAATGAGCAGATTGATGGAAAATTAATTTGTAGTCTTGACGGGTGATAAGATCCAGCTAGTGAAATATTATCGAAGTCAATTGCAGAATACGATAATACAGGGATGAATCTTACTATAGCAGGTTGCATATAGGTACTCAGTGAGCAACCGAGTGAGTCTCCACTTGTAATTTAGGTACTACAGAGTATAACTTTGTAGAAAATTTTAATAGTTTAGATAATTATCACAAAGCCTAATAAAGTGAAAGCAAGACTGCCAAATTTAAAAAAAAAAATAAGTCTTCTTAAATAGATTCACCAATATCCAAGATTTCGATATTTATTTGCGGTACCTCTGGTAAGTAAAGAAATTTCATTTTTAAATATCTTAAGACCTGGAAATCTTGGAATATTAGCTAATCTATTATCAATTTTTTCTAGAATAGATACTCCATGTTTTTCTTTTAAAAGATCACATATAAATTTAATTTGGTATTTAAATAATTCCAAATCTAAATAGTGCATTCTATTAATTACAGTAGCTTCATAAATATTAATATCCCTAAAATTAAAGTAGATAGATATTAATAAAGAATAAACGTTAATAAATTTAAATTAATTTGAAAGGCAAAAATAAATTGGCAACCTATTACTATGAGATCCTATATGATCAACCAATCATTTTTAAGATTGGTGATCATATAAAATAAATAACTATTGTCGTGTTAATGTATCCTTTTTTTATTTTGCTTCTGGTTTGTTTTTTGCCTTTTTTACTTGCTTTGCTTTTGTGTCTGCAGTTTTTTGCTTGCTTGCTTTTGCTTTTGTCTTGTCTTTGCTTTTTGCTTTGCTTTTTGCCTTGCCTTTGCTTCTTGCTTCACTTTTTGCTTTTGCTCGCTTTTCTTTGCTTGCTTTTGCCTTTTCATTTTCTTGCTTTCTTGTCTGCTTGCTTGTTTTCGCTTTTGATATACTTACATTCTTCATTTTTCTCTTCTTTTTTTAGGTTACTTTTAGGTTATTGTATCTTCACCAGTGGTGTCATTAATCATTGTCAATCGCATTCTTGTATCCTTTTTTGTATGTTTATATTTTTGTATTTCTTGTGTCTTTTTTGTATGTTTGAGCTTTACTAACTTTTTTTCTTTTAGGTTACAATTAGGCTGTTGTATTTTTATTAATGATGTAGTTTTTGTTTGTATCTTTGCTAATATACTATTTTTCATTGTTGCCAATCGAATTCTTGTATCCTTTTTTCGTGTGTTAGTATTTTTCTTGTTTCTTGATGTGTTTGAGCTTTACTAACTTTTTCTTTTCAGATTACTATTAGGTTGTTGTATTTTTACGATAATGTTTTTTAGTATTGTGGTGCATTCTTGTATCCTTTTCTTATATGTTTGTGTTTTTATATTTTTTTTGTGATTTTTTTTTTTATGTTTGCACTTTACTAATTTTTCTTTTTCAGATTACTATTAGATTGTTGTATCTTCGTCGGTTGTAAAGTTCTTGATTATTGTGGTGTATCTTTTTTTTGTATGTTTTGTGTTTTTCTTTTTGTATTTCTTTTGTACATTTGTGCTTTACTAATATCCATTTATTTCAGATACTATTAGGTTGTTGTTTCTTTGTCGGTGATGATATGGTTGTTGGTTGTTGCATGTATTCTTTTTTTGTATGTTGTTTTTGTGTTTTTCTATTAGGTTGTCATTTCTTTGCTAGTGATATAGTCGTTTGTTGATGTTGCAGTTTTTGATCATTCTTGGTATTTTTTTTTTGCGGTTTTCTTTGTATATTTTCTTGTTTAGCACTTTACTAATTTCTTTTTTTGTTTCAGATTACTATTAATTTGTGTGGTTTTTGGCTGTTGCGAAGAATTTCTTCATATTCTTTTTTTTTTCTTAATTTTTTTTATTTTTATTTATCTATTTTTTTTTACCACTTCTCTTTGTTTTTTTCTTTTAAGGATGTCATTTTTGGTTTTTAGTGATTTTATTAGTAATACATTAAAGCCATCGTTGGAGTCGTTGCTGAAACCATCGCTGGTGCCATCATTGGAGCTGTAAAGATGTTGTTGTAAGAAGTTCTAGTTAATTTTTGGGTATTGGGCTATTGTCTGTACTTGTGTATAAAATTTCTACTTGGATGGTGAATTTTTCTTACTGCAATACATTGGTCAAAGCGATTTGATCTTTTTTTTTTATACTGTAATATGTATAAGTGTTTGTTGTACGATAGCATTGTTTATACATATTAAATTAAATTTATATAATAAATATGTAATTTTTTTCAGGCATCAATAACTTTTTATATTCAATATACAATATTATAATATTATACGATAATTGTATATAAAAATCTTCGAATGCTATTTATTCTTTGTTTTTCACCATAAGTTTTTCTATATCTGCTAAGTGTATATTATCATTTTGACTTACTATAATTTTTCTTTACTTCCTTTGATTTTTTCCTGACATTCTATAATTATTTCTTGACTATCTATGTTTCTACTTCTACGAATTTGAGAGTGTAAACACTCTAGCTCGTTGTTGCTAATGAATCTGGTAGTATAAATTACTTGAGGGTGCATTTCTATTTCCGATATATCTAAAATATAGTCAGAAATATCGTTAAACTTAATAAATTCTGATAAAATTTTTGTGTTTGTCTTCGAAGATTGAAAAATTTGATAAATTTCTGATGCTGTTGGGCGTTTTTTTTGGATCATATTCCCAACACATTTTCATAAGATTATTGTAACATTGGGGTATATTTTTAACAATAGTCGGTCTTAATCCTTCACAAATTTCCCTTAAAAAGCATAAATCATGACTTTTGTTCGAAAATGCTAATCTTCCCGATGATACTTCCCACATTATCATGCCAAATGAATAAATATCAGATTCCAGTATATATCTTTTTCCAAGTAAAATTTCAGGTGCCATGTATGGAAAAACACCATAAATTCCATTAGGTTTCATGGATGCTTTATTAATAGATTCTGAAAGTCCTAAATCACCAATATATGCATTATATAAATTATTTTGTAAAATGTTTCCACTATGTAAATCACGATGAACAATGCTATGGGAATGAATTATTTGGAGATCGTACGAAATATCTAATAATAAATTTAACCTTTCTTCCTATTCCATGAGTGCTACTTTATGAAAGTTTTGATGCAAACAACCATTTAAGGCATATTGCATCACTAAAATATAATCGTTAGTGGTTTTCGTATCTTTCGATATCCCATAACATCGCAAAAATGTAGGGTGTTTAATTCCATTGTCATAATACGCTTTAGCTAAATACAATAAAATTGAGTATTTTAATAAATAATATAAAAACATTGAAGTAATAGAGGCTACCTCTTTTAGGAGCTCTTCGCAATTATTTTGTGATCCATGAAGAAGTTTAAGCGCAACATTTTGGTCCTTCCATCTAGCGAAATATACAGTTGCAAATCCTCCTCTCCCAACCTCTTTGATGATTTGTAGATCGTTGAATGGAATCCATAATAATGAAATATTTTTTAGAAATTTAGTGATTTTATCATCATTCTGGGTCCTTTGAAAAAAGTTATGCATTCAATATAGCCCTATAAGAAAAATGGATCGGATCGGTACGGGTTGGTTTCGGATAGGCACGGGCATTTGTGGCACGGGTCAAAATCCGGATTTGTACGGGTATGGTCCGTGTTGGTACGGATTCGGTGGTCCGTGTGGGACCGTATGCCCGTGCCAATTGGACCGTAAATGGTACGGGTTTTGCAGCAGTTTACTAGTCGAATCGGCACGGGATTTGGCACGGGTAATGATACGTAAATTAACGTGCCACCGCAATAACAAATAACAAACACGTTAAAACATAAAATTTACATTAGTAATCAATATAATACGAACAAACTAACTGCATGTGAAGTAAAATTTTGTAAGGAATCTTTTTTGTTAAGATACTCAGAGCAGCTTTATCAGTGAAATTATGAGATATTGCACTTTTTTTAAAAAAAAATCATTTATTGATCTTTCGCTCTTCGCGAAACGAGCCAACACGTATGCAACGTACACATACGTGTCATATGAACGTGTTGTTCCGTATAACGTGCCACCCCTTGCCGAAATGTCCGTGCCATTACGTAAAACGTGCCTGTGCGTGCCACCTCGTACATTCCCGAAACCAACCCGTACCACAACCCGTACCACTTTTCTTATAGGGTAGTAGGTCGAAAAAATAAAGATATACAAGTTATATAAATAAAATGGAAATACCCATACTCAAAGCTCTAACCTGTAGATTTGTACAATATGTGAAATTTTTTTTGAATTACTTACGATAAAGATGATATAGATGTGTTTATAACTTGAGGTTGTTGGATTGATTTTTTATTAATGAAGAAAAGTAGCAATCCACCTATCAAAATTGAAGTCAACCAACCTATATAAACTAAACATACTAAAAAGTCTCGATACTTAAAAACGTTCAAGAATAAAAAAATTGAAAATGTAATAGTTTCGATCATAATATTTATTGATTTTATACTCCCAGACGCCACTTGTATACCCAGCTGAATCGCGCATAATATTATTAATGATATTGATATTATTAATAAGACTCTATCGAAATAAAATTTCAAGATTGTAATTAAACTAACTGTTATAATATAAATCTTTGTGTATAATCTTAATCTTAATAATCTCATAAAAAATTCTGAATCAAGTTCCGTTCTCATTATATAGGTCTAAAAAACTCAAATAATGAATATGTTTTATTTAAGAATTTACTACTAAATTTAGGATTAGAATTAGCGGAAGTTATTCGCAAAATGAACACCAAAATTTGTAGCAAACAAATATACATATAAAGATAATTTAAGGAGTAAATAGATATAATAACACTGTTATTATATTTATATCTATTTACCCTTAAATTATTTGCTACAAAATTTTGATAATTTTGTGAATAATTTTGAGAATGCAGCTTAGGATCAATTTAGAACCAATTCCGCAAATCCACCGATATGAGAAAGAACTTTTGAGGTGCCAAACATAATTGTTCACGCATAGAGATAGGCCACTATAGTCTCATGCAAGCATAGATACATCAATACGGCTCAGGTTGTTTATTACAGTAGGAACTGTATGGTAATACGTGAATGTAATTCACGATTTCAAATAATGTGAATACCAGGTGTTACATAGAATTTTCTCGAATAATAATATATAATTTTATGCCCATCATTCTTGTGAAATATGAGCGCAATGTATCTCATCCTATTTCACATGTGTAGATTCACTTCCATATTGAAATTATTAGATTATATCTGATAGACCTACAGTAGTATCAGTTAGAAATATTCATCGTGATGTATATCTTAGCTCTCATAACATGTATAACTTTCCTCTGTAATTAACCTTGGTATACTAAGACCTTGAGTCTCAAGACTCCGTCCCAATTTGTAAATAGAATTGACTTTATATACAATTAACCCAAGTGACAACTATTGATGTCCTCATACATTAGTAGCTGTATATTGCCTCTTTCGTTTAAGCCTTATTAAATCCCCTTTGATAAGTTATGTAACAGGCGCCATATTGACTTACCATATCACCATAGTTATAGTCTCCATACTATAAACCTCATGTCTCCTGAGTCATATACAGAGGTCAATTCCAGGTGTGACGCAGGAATACCAGGTATTGAAAATTTCACGAAGTGTATGATTATACGGCAATTATGATGTGCTTTCGCAAATCTTGCATGTTATTGGATTATGCATGAGGCGAAGCAAGGGTGTGAATGGTTAACCATAGCTGCCGCAACAAATTTGGACCTGCAGATCCTCGATTTTGATTGGCTAAGAGCGACGATAAAAAGATTAGGCCGGAATTACTCATAAATTTACTAATGAAATCATAGCCACCCATTAAATGAAAATTGTTCCTGGGCCAATTTTACCATAGTGCAGGCTTATTTTTTAAGAATTTTCTATTTTTGTAATAAAAAAATTAAAAAGTTAATTCCGGCCGGAAATTAGTAACCAAATTTGTAATGTGGGCCAAAATTTGATCCTCGGCCGTTAGCCAATCAAAATCGAGGATCTGCCGGTCCAAATTTGTTGCAGCAGCTATGGTTAATGGTGTGAATGCATATTGAAACCATCACGTGTTGCATCTTTACCACTTGCTTCCATATTTGTGGATTTGATTTCCTCACGCTTAATAGGGATCTATGTTATAATCAGTTGGAAATCAAGAATTCTTACTTTAGTTAAAAAAACAAAATAACAATAAGGTTTCAGAATTACCTTTTTTTAAAAATAAGCGAGAGTTTAAAAGGACCTATTTTCTTTTTTAGAGTTTCGAATCAAAAATTAAATAGGCATAGTCAGTGATAAAATTAGCTTTTTTTTGATAAACATTCATCGGTAAACAATTATGTAAATAAGTACATACTTTAAAAAAAATAGAATTTGTGCGTTGCTTATTTTGAAATAAATACGTCACTTATTTTATCTGAAATTGGAAGCCGAATCATTAATTCTGAAACCCCCTAATAGATGAATTTCAGTAAACTTATCCTTGCGATCATTTTCTTCGTATAATAATTTACTATGGCATTGTTTAATTTAATACAATCTTATCGTGTTTGATGAATTAGCTGTATGTTATATCAGTTAAATATATTGTAGTGATCATGCCGTAAAGCATTCTTTGTTTTGGATCCAGAAATTTTTAGTATATCTGTGATAATCTTAAAGATTATCTTAGTGATTCTGCATTATTAATACAGTATTATATTGTCTTTATTCTGATTAAAAAAATATATTGCTAATCTTGATTGCTTTCTATTTATGGATCATGTATAAAAATCATCTAAAACTGTTACTAATTTGAACTTACCAATTAGAATATTTAATAATCTTTCTTCATTTAATTCTGGGTTGTACACTTTAACGTTTTTGATTGACCATATCCAAAAAAAACCGTGATCAAGTGTGGGAATTTGAATCTGTGCACTTTACCGTTTTTGATTGACCATCCAAAAAAATTGTGATCTGATTTCCTGATTATTGTTATTTCATGATTTTGAATTAGTTACTTCTGAGTACGACATTCTGAATTCTTCTTAATTACGATATTGCGACATTGCGACACCTATCATTTAATACGCTTCTATCATTTAATTCTATCTAACTTTATCGAGGGTTTGCGCGCTTTAACGTTTTTGATTGGTCATATCTGAAAAATGTGAACTGAATGTGGGAAAACTTACATGGATATACGTAAAATGATTACAGGATTATGACGATTATCATCAATATCGATATGAGTGTAAACAGGGAATTCTTGATTTTTGGAAATTCCGCTTACTGATGATGAATTTAAATTAAGCACAACATAAATTATATGGTGTGTTAAATTACATTTTTCGGGGTTTGATCTGTAAAATTAATTTCGGAAAATTCACAATTCCCTGTTTTCGCTTGTCGACACTCATGTAAAAAAAGATTGTTACACAAAACAAGTGTCGTAAATATATTTTGATATTTTGATGCTTGGTTCATAGGCTTCCAAGTTTTAATGATTGATCTGACTAACATCAACAATGCGCTGTTCTATAATTGTTGGGCGAAACCTTGAGTTTTACGTGAAAGATGAAATTTAATTAGAATTTCTCTAAGAAACTTTAAAAATGATAAAATGGTAAAACCGGTAAAAGGAGACGGAACTACAGCAAAATTGGTGGAATTAGAAAAATATGGTAAAATTTATAAAGTGATAAAAACAAATAAGGAATAATAATTTAGATAAGTAAATTCATAATTATTGCAACTAATGATGAAATTGAAATTCGCGGTCTCAATTTATTACTTCTGTACTTAAGCCTAAGTTCTAGTTTAGTCGTAACAATAAATATCGCCGGTTTAATATCAATCAATTCCGAAATCTGATTCAAGATCTATTATTCAAAAATGAAATTAGCGAAACTAAGCTATTTTATTAAATTTATGCCTACCTGTTTTTTTTTCTTTTGCAATGGATATGAAGCATCTGTAAATAGAATCAATTTAAATCCACTTATTAATAATTAATAAATGATCTTCGACTTAAGTAAGAATTAAACATTTAAACCAAATTTTAATATATTCTAAAACAAAAGTATACTAACGTTAGATAATTTTAGATAATGTTAAATCCATAATTTTTTTTAAGCATATTTGGTATTGCCATATAATTGTTGTAAACGGGAATAAAGCTAAATTGACTTGGAATCCGTTAATAATAACTACATCTAAAATCTAATTTTAACCTTAACTCTAATAAATTTAAATTAACATAAATTCCATTCTCACATAACATAAATATCACTTTACGTTATAAAAGTTAAAAATGCGAAGAGAACTTTATTTTCTCATTGAAAATGGCACAGCCAAAACTTCTATTTAAGTATTGCAAAAAAAAGCACAAGTTGCAATTATTATACATCATATGAACCAGCTTTTAACAATGATGAAACTTTCAAATTTCAATAGTGTAACGCAATTTATAATTACAGTGTATATTACTTTGAGATACCCAAGTAATGGTCAAATTATACCATTATAATGAAAAAATTCAATCTCGAAAAATTTTTTTTTTTAATTAATCAATAAATCGCATGAAATATGTAATGACTGTATTTCCTTCTTAAATGGTTTATAGAATTTTTCATAGAATTACCATGATTTGTTAAAATTTAAAATCCGCATTTCTTATAATGAAATTTTGTTATAAGAATTAATTGAGCATCATTTTAGTCGTTACAAACCACATTTAGAACAAGCTTCTTGTTCCTTATTTATTAAGTTAACAAATGTTATTGATACTTTTTTTTCAACTATTTTTTATAAAAAAAGTTCGCAAATATAATTATAAAAAGCCATGAAATAAGCAATTACATTATTTACTGTAAATGCAATGTGTTATTAAGTTAGAAATTTTTTTTAAAAAAACCACTTGCATTCAGACTAAAGAAAAAAAAACTGCAAAAATTTTGGATCGGATACGTTTACTATTAACCTTCTTAACTCAAACATTAACTCCAACTAGTGCACCAACAAAATAAATCACATTTACAATTACGATTCTAAAACTTAAGAACTTGAAATACTTCAATTTCATCAACTAAAAATTTATCTGAGTTATCCCTAAGAGGTTTTTCATAATATTCATAATCATGTACATATTGCCACTCTTTACCATTATTCAAATAGAAATAATTGCCAAAAGCTGGGCCACCAATATGGCATCCAATTACATCGCTTGGATGTATAATTCTGCTAAGAATAGATTTTTGTAAAGTTTGGGTTTTCAATGAAAAAATAAAGCTGTCGGCCGCCTCTAGCCATTCAAGTTCATAATTAGATGGCCAGACTAACGGATTATACCCACCAAGTATTTCATTTGTGCCATTAACTTTCATAACAATGACAGTGGCAGGTATGTTAACACATAATTTACGAAATGATTCACTACCAAATCCATCACTACTTCCTCTAAGAAGTAATTCAAATTTATAAGGTATCTTTGTAATTTCATAAGTTAATGGATTACGATCAATCCAAGAACAAATTTCTGCAAAATGTTCATCATTAATAATAGATGATGGATTGATAAAATTAAATTCACGGACAGGAAGTTGAACAGGAATTATTTTACGAACTGGTAAAATAGTTGAAGAGATGGATTCATCAGGTGCCATAATTCTTGTTGTAATATCATCCCATAAGTTTGATCCAAGAATTTGTCTATAAGGTTTAACTTTCGTAACTAAATCTTTTCCAGGCATTTGAAAATATCTAATTAAAGGAATACAATTATTAAGAGTAGTCTTTAATGTCAAAAAATCCTCATTAGTCCATTTAGTGATATCGGAAGGCAGTTTTATAGTTTGTGCCTTTCCCCATTGGATAATCTTATCCCAAATTTCAGATTCTTTTAATTGTAAATCATCTCGTTTTAAAAGAGCCACTAATGCATTTTCTTGAACAGAAGTAAAGTCATTTGAATCAAAAATCAAGTTAGGATGTTTTGCAAGAATATCTGTGCAAAAAGTTTGTAGAGCCTTAAAATGACTATTTTGAAAACTGGTATAATAGACTTGAGTAAATTTTAATCTAAGCCAGGATGCCTTATTATCAATAAGATACGACTGAATATGATCAACTAGCTCCTCAAAACCCAATTTGTTAGAAGAAATTAAAAGATCAAATATTGTAGATGGTTCGATCTCTTCTAATAGAATTTTACCCGTATAAATATATCTAAATTTTAAAAATTCTTAATTAGCATTTCAATTATTATTAATACATTTCAATTATTATTAATATATTAAATTATAAATTATTTACTTGATTAAAATTTTAAAAGTTTCAGCAGAAATATTTGGTATCGTAATTTCTATAATATTATCCTTTTTAGTTGCAGTTGACAATTCTTGACGAAAGAATAATGAACGTTGATATAATACTAATGAATGTAACTTAAAAATTTTTTCATTAATTTTAACGATAACATTATAATCATATTCATTCTCAAGGAGTTGTGCAAAATCATTTGAGAAGCGTTCAAGTAATTTTGTATCGGTACTTTTTTGCGACATTTAAAACTGAAAATTTCAAGTGCAGGTTTTACTTTTTAACTGTTATAAGTTCATTTTTGTATGACGTACGTACATACGTCACTCTTACCTATTGTCACGGTACATTATCTTTTACATGCTTCATTAATAAAATTCACCATAAAAAATTGTACAGAACTGACGGACTTAGAAAGCAGTTTACTTTACTTTACTATTACTAATATATATTTAAGTACTACTGTATATTAATTTCTCGACTTTTGATAAAATAAAACAGGTCAGGCCATTTGCTATTGTCTACCTTGACCTTTTCTCAAATATTTCCCTTAATTAGCGCATTAAATTGAAAAATTCTAAACTAAATCATATTAAAAATTATGAACTTGAAATATTTCAATTAAAGGATTAATATTTAATTTTATACGTTATTTTATATGCGATGCTCAAATCCGACTTAATCGGAGGACCAACTGAAATAAAGTTTTCTTATTAAATTTTTAATGATTTTGCATATAAATAATCAGATAAAATAAGTGACGTATTAATTTCAAAAGAAATGACGTACAGATCCTATTTTTTTTTAAAGTATATATTTTTTATTTACATAATCGCTTACTGGTAAGTATTTATCAAAAGAAGCTATTTCATTTTCTGATTCGGAATTTTAAAATAGAAAATCTGATCTTTTTTAAACTCGACTTACTGTATTTTCGAAATAAGTTAATTCTAAAACCCCTAATAAATAATTGAACATTATATTAATTGAGTTGCCTAATTACTTAAAAATATCCGGTCGCATCCTGTTGTTATCCATTTATGCGAAAGTATGATTGATTGTGAAGAAACTTTCTATGGAAAAGCATGTAATGATGACTTTACAAATTAAAATTGGTGGTTAAAAAAACAATGTATTTAATATGAAACGAGAAGAAAAATTATGAAGTTTTTATTTACATCAATGAAGCTTTTTCTTATTTTGTATGAACTTTATACTGTACTAATTTACTTTATTGCTCTTCGAGTCTAATAGTTCTGATTTATTGGCCAATTGACATACTTAGAAATTAATCAGGACATTCATCACGAACTTTTTTTCATAATATTGCTACATAAAAAAACTACGTATTCTTATAGTAATTTTTTATAAATATTTATACATTCTACGGACCTTCTGTAATATTACATATTGTAAAGCACGTAAATTTGCATAAATTATTACAGAGTTATATGCAATTATTACAATCATTATTATAATTATATACTGAATTAGTTTATACATATTTTTGAGCGAATATTATCTATTTCTTGATATAAATTAATAATTTCTTGAAAAAATTAGCATTATTCTTTCGCATATCTCATATAATTTTCTTATCGATCACAGTTATTTAACTTCTTTCGGCATTAGTCTAAATTTTGTCCGATTGTATTTTATTAATTTACGATATCAATTATCAAACTTGATTTTTTTTAAAAAACAAACCAAGTAGAATTATACTTGCCTTGAGAGATCGATACAAAGAATTAACTTTCTCAGGATCTAATTTCATGCCTTCATATTTCGGATCGAGAATATAAAGACATATAGCAATTGTGAAAACTTTGTCATCTTCAGTAGGTTGATCTTTTACCCAAACTTTTGATATAATTGAGTCCATATAGGTTTGAGATGATATAGTACTAATTGGAGCATTTAGTTTGCGTAGACACCATTTCGTATTTTGAGATTCTTTAAAAGTTTTAATTATATCAGCGGAAGCTGATGAATCGATTTTATTGAGCTTGTCATGAAATACTTCAAATAATTTATCTTTGATTTTCTTGACAATAGTTCCACGATGCTTGCATATTTTGTCTTTAGCCTAGTAAATAATAAATATTATACACATGTATTTATTAATTAAATGATACCAATAACATAAAATATAAATAAAATACAATACTATAGAACAAATTGCTGATCTAAAAAAAGAATCCCATTCTTCATTATTTATTAAATATTGCATGCGTTCAGGCTGTTTAGAACTTAATATACGTAAAGCTGCAGATTTAATTGTTTCATCTGAAGGATATTTAAAATCTGGGAAAATATCGTTAATAATATATTTCCAATAGGGCTATTAAAATATAAAGAAATTAATTATTAATTAAATTTATATATAGTGTAATATTTAATTTAAAATTACCTCAACCCATTGAGTCCGAGATGAAGCTTCGTTAGTTTTATGTGAATCATTTAACATATCTTTAATTTTTTTTAATTTCTTCTGATTGTAAACGAATTGTTGATTTAATTTCTTCATTAAGATGCAATAATGTTTTTAAATTCATTTGATTAGCAAGTATAGTATCCAATATTTTATTATGAGTATTATCAGTTGAATCTAAAAGTTATAAATTATTTTAATTAAAAGTAAATAAATAGTTATATGAATTTAAAATTTAAAAAACTTACATTCTATATGATTCGATTTTGTTATTGAGTTTCTAATATTAATTGATCTCGAAGTATTTGAATCAAATCTATTATTTTGTAAATATTTAGAACTAGATAATACTTTTGAAGTATTATTAGAAATTGAAGATTCGCTTTCAGAGTTTGACAAATCATCATCTTCATAATTATTTAAAAAGTATTTGCTTGATGAAGATGTTGAAGTTTGTTGAGGTAAATAATGAGAATTTGAATCGGAACTCTTTGACTTGTCTAAAATTTTAAAAATAAAATATATATTATGTATAAGATATTAAAAATAAATAAATTTTATTTATATAACATACCTAATTTATTATTTTTAGTAGTATCGTTAACAGGTTGTAAATCAGATATATTATTATCTGAATCATTTTCAAGTAACAAGCGCTCATCTTGACTATTTTGTATATCTTGTATATCTTGTATATCAATTTGGTTATTCAATCTATTATTTTGAATTTCGTCTGCTAAATTTTTATCTTGAGAGGAAGATGCTTGTTTATTTTGAGAAGAAGTTGTTTGTTTATTTTGAGAAGTTGCTTGTTTATTTTGAGAAGTTGCTTGTTTATTTGAGAAGATATTTGTTTATCTTGAGAAATAGCTATTCACTTATTTTGTAAAAAACTTTGCTTGTCTTGAGAAGATGTTCGTTTAACTCCTTTTTTACTATGTTTCATTTTGAAAAATAAAAAGTTAAGTTTATAAAAAGTTAAATAAAATCAGTATTTATATAAAGAAAATTTCTTAATTTACACCAGGTGTATATACACACATACTAATTTTTGATTTACGAATTTGTTTAACATAT